CAAAAGCGCGCTCCGGCGGCGGCCTGGCCGCAGTCACTCGGCGGTGGTTAGAAGATAACAAGACGGCGTCCTCGGCCTTCCCTACAAACCAGCGCTCGCACCGCTGGCCCCACGGGGTCATTCCCAAGCTGAAGCTCAGGGCACGTCTGCACTGCTGACCCCGGGGCTTATGTAGGTGCTTGAGCTGGCGCTAAGGCGCTCTGACTCGGTAACCGCCTAGCATGCGGCGGTGGCGAAGCGAAACTCAGCTCGGGCTAAAGCCTGAGCATTTACGGAGCTTTTTGAACCAAGCTTAGCACCGCGCACCTTGCTTCGGTAGGAGACTGGTGGAGCTAGCCCTTCGTCCAAGCCAGAAAAGCCACCTTTCTATTCCTACGTAGCAACGCAGCAGCCAGCCTTTAAGGTAGCTGATTTCAGTAGAAAGCCAGCGTATCTCTCCAAGTTTCCACCTTGTCATTTCCTCCCTGATTTGCACTAGAGGTAACTCTTGAAAGACAGAGTGAAAAAGATGGCTTTTTCTCCTGCAAGAAGTGCAGCCCGTAGGGATGTGAGGGGTTGCAGGTGAGGAGCACAGCTGCAGCCCATGAACAGAGCCAATTAATGCCAGTAAGAGCAGCCCCTGGGTGTTTTTGTGTGTGTGTCTTGGTTTTTTGGGTAGCTGCAGGTTTGTTGTGGGTTTTCCTTGCTCCTGGAACAGCTTTTTGTGGTTGGAGGCTCCAAAACGCGATGGGGTGTTTTTTAGAGGATCTGCGGTGAAGTAGCCCAGAGGAGCACTGGTGCCTCAAGGTAAGGACCAGCTTTTTTTCTTCCCCAGAGCTGTGTTGGTGCCTGACTGGTAGGAGGTTCTTCTCTTGGTGTAGTGGGGAGATGGTGTATGGGTCACGGGAGGCTTGTGCACTGTTCAAGTGGGTCTGATTTCTGTAAGAGCTGTGCTCTTGTAGGCAAGCTGTTGGGTGCAATTGGCTTGGCCAGTGCTAGGTAGGGCAAATAGGTGATTTCTTTCTCCTTTTGATGCTGGCTCTGGGGGCTAAGGCAATAGGTGGAGGGCAAAGGCAGACTGCAGAGGAAAAATAAGTTTGACCATTTAGTGTTCAAGAATGCTTGTTGTGCAAGTCCCTGTTGCTCAAGGGTTGGGGTCCTGAGCGTGTCAGATCTGTATATGTGACCTGGGTTTTTATTTCTGTGGTTGTGTCTCTATCTGGGATGGGTTTAACAGGAGTGCTCATCCTGTTCCAGCTCAGCTCTGCAATCCTACCTCTTCGATATCTGCTCGTGCTCGAGCAGGCTTTGAGGTGTCATGTGGGAAGTCTGTGATGCGGCATTAAGTGAGTGTGCTGTTGTAGAGCTGTTCAACGCTAATCAGAGAATATAAGATGTGTAATGAGTGGGACCTTCTTCTGACATCTGCATCTTTTCTGGTGTCAAATTACTGCTGCCTGCTTTATTGCTGGAGTGCTCCAGCAGTTGATTTTCATACTCCAGTAAGAGGACTGCCCAGGAAAAAGGGGAGGTCAACAGTGCAGCACTGTTCCTGGTAACCAGCAGCTAGTTAGCCAGAGAAGGAAACATGACTCTCCTGACCGGATAGCATCCGTCTGTGCCCTGGAGAGTTTTGGCTGTGGGACTTTGCATGGTAATGATGTGGTCCCTCTCTGGCAGGCCAAGGGAGGAGCAGCGTGGGAATGCGCACCCTATAATTGAAAAGCCACTAAGCCACCTCAAACCTGTGGGGATGGCAGGACGGAGGCAGTGGTTTGCTCCGTCTCCTTGGCCGTAAGGCAGAACGGAGGATCCCTTTCCTCTTTCGGATGAGGAAACGGAGAGAAGCCTCTTCCCTGTGCTTCTGGACCGCTCCCAGGAGGGGGCTTTCCCTAATGGGGTAGTGGTGAGGGGTCATTCTCAAGGGCATGATGAAAGTGGGAAAGAAGGATAGCAGGAGAGTGAGGAATAAATGAAGGAGCAATGGGCAGTTATTTTAGATGTCTGCTTTCTCCAAGTGGAGGCTGCCCGATTCTATCTAGCCTAGGCCACGGAAATGGAGGGGGTGGGTGGACATGTGCCATAGGTCATGTTCCATAGGCCCTGCTCCGTCTTCTGGGAAATGCCTCCTTGTTCCCCTCGGGCAGCATCATCTACAACCTCTATAGCTGTGCTGGTTATTTTCCTGAGTGATAATACATTAAAACAAGCCTTGAGTAGCCATAAGGCGCCATTGACTTGAGTATTTCAAAGTACCGTAAATAAGCGAAATCGGTCTCCATCCTAGGAACAATGAAGTGGTCAAGATTCACATGTCCCAAAGTGTCGACTTTGCGTTGAGGTGGGTGACAGGTTGTCTGGGGACTTGACTCTACTTACCTAAGATTGGGTGCTACTGAGCTGAAACACTCTGAACTGACCTATGCAGTTTGCTCAAGGCTGTAGGATAGCACAGGCTGGGAGAGAGCTCCAAAGGTCGTCTGGTCCATGCCAAAGCGTGGCTAGAATAGACAGGGCCTCGAGAAGGTTTCCTCTTGAGACCTTGTCTGTCCTGTCCCCAACCTTTCCTGGAAGACGAGACAGAGCGTGAATGCCAAATCTGAACCCCACCAGTTGGGACCCTAGTTTCTCCTAAGCTCTCATAAGCTGTGTGGCAAAGAGTTTCCTCCAGAAAACAAGTCTCGTTTGACTGCCTGAGCACTACTTGGCTGCGTGACAGCCAGCTGCTCTGGCAGGTGACTAGGAACGTTTTTGTTGCGTGATCTTTGCAGTTTCAGGGAGGAGAAGCTTCCTCATAGCTCAGAGCAGCAACCAGCGAGGAGGACGCTAGCTACGATGCACCTACAGGAGATCAGGTCCGTCTCGGATGGTGCCCCCGTGGAGGCCTTGGTGGCCGTTTGCTTGGGAAATGGGTCACTTCAGCAGAAGAGCTGCTGAAGGGGGCAAAACTGATCCTCTTGCTCACAGCTGCTGAGATCCTCCAGCAGAGTCGGCTGTGCAAGAAGGGCTGGGCGTTGGGTGTGCTCCTCTCGCGTGGCACTGAGCCCGGTATTGTGCGGGCTCCCTCTGAAGCAACATGCAGGAAGCACTGGTGGAGCAGTGCCAAGCCTGGGGGAACAGCAGGAGGATGAAAAATGGGAGTCTGAGACGGGCCCTGGAGAGCCCCAGCCCTGCTCTTCAAGAGGAGGCAATGGAAAGCAGTGCCCAAGCTGCTGTTGGTCGTGGCCTTGATGACTTCGAGGTGGCCTTTGGGCCAGCTGGCTGGCTAGAAAGGAGCTTTTCTGATTTGCTGGGTTTGCATTTCTGTATTGGGATCCAGTTACCTGTGAGATTTCAAGCTTCCCTAGGCCACTAAAAGCTGGGACGGAGCAGCATTGCAAAACGCTGAGGTCTCAGAAGGGGCAGCCTTAGCGTGGCGTGGATGGCTTTTCCACCCCCCAAAATCGGACGAGGCGGGAGGCTGTCTCTTGTTTAGCAGGTTACCTCCTTCTGCGGTCGGAGGGCTGCTCGCAGCTGCTGTCTCCAACACCTCTCCATGGTCTAGCAGGAGCTGGCGTGGCGTAGGGTGCCAGTCTGTGCTTTTCTGTTCACCTGGATTTCACGGTCATGCTAGTCCAGAGCTTTCAAATGAGCTTCTTGCTGTACGATTTTAGCTGCTTAGGCTTTCGTGTGCTGTAGGGCAGGAGCAGGTAATGGTGGGATAACCCGGCTGCAAATGCAGCAGGAGTCCCATGGGTGTCTCCTGACTGTCACCGTTGGTCTGCTCTGCTGGGAAGTTGAAGAGTTTCTCTTATATTTTTTTCTTCCTCCTCCTTAATAAATGAACTATTTGTATTGAGGCCAAACATGAGAGACTTCAGCCTCCAAAATAAAAGCTCTGATGAGAATTGTAATTGGGAGGAGGCTGAAATATGGGCAGTTTCCTACCTTTGTCCACGCTGCTGCCATGCAGTTTTGGGTTGGTTGGTTTGTTTTCTTTTTTTTTTTTTTCCTCCCCCTTCTTTAAATAAAATCCATGGGAGTATAGTGTCACTGAATTGCCAGCTCTGTGGATGTGGCCGCTCTTACATACGCGCTCTATGTGTATGGCCTACCAGCACCCAAGTGGGCTGGGAGAGAAGGTGCCCATGGGGACGGGACAGGTTCTCCCTAGCCACCTGGGGTATTTCCCCCCACTCTCCTGCTTGGGGGAAGCTTTTCCAAGCCAGAGTGCCTGAGCCAGCGTGGGAGAGGGGATGGACACCTGACTGGAGGCCGGCAGAGGGGGAAACAGTAACCTGGAAGCCCTTTTTTTTTTTGTGGGGGGGGGGGGGGGAGCAGCGTATTTGCAGTCAAATTAGCTTAAAGTGATCGTGAAACCACAGGATAATATTTCACTCCTCTTTGCTGTGGTCTCGCTGTTGAAAGCGCCCGTACGAGCACCAGCTAGTTTCTGTAAGCCGGACGTGGCTCGAGGACAATAAGTTCTTTCTTACGTCCCCTCTGCCGCATAATAACCGTTTTCGGCTGCTGCCGCGCTGCGCTCAAAGTGCGAGAAGAAGCCCCGTTCTTACAGCGCAGTGCATGGCGTACTCCTACCGACTCGAGCGAGAGCCCTGCGGGCAAACAGCTTGCAGGGACAGGCAAGGGAAGTTTCAGGAAGCTGCAAAATAGAGTAAATAATAAGCAGAAATGGAAAAATAAATCAGAAATGCATTACCTGCTCTGTAGGAACTGCTCTCAAATTTCCTTTTTTAAAAAAAAAAAAAGAGAGAGAGAAGATGATCATGTTATTTACATTCCATTGAACTCGCTGAAAAACCCAAACACACACGGCCACGGTATTAGGTAACTCTTCCATTTTTTTTTTTATAGGACACAGCTATCTTATATCCTGCCATTCAGTGGAGGAGTTAAAATATTTACTATATTGCTCATGCAGGTTTGTGCATGTAGGCTACCTATAGAGCTTCATCACTGTGCCAAGTCAAAGCGGTGGTGATTCTCACAGCGGAGACCTCTGCGGGCAGTGCTGGCCGTGGGACGGCGCTGTGCTCGCTGGGCGTCCAGGGATGGTTTTGCAGCCCGTGTGCTGTCGGGTCACTGCTGGACGTGGTGGAGAATGGGATGGCTGGGCAAGGTGGAAGGTGCAAATCCTCTTCTCGCCCCTCGTGCAAATACTTTTATGTATACCTGGCGCGCGGACTTTGTGGGACACCTCTTCCCCCGTGGGTTTTTTTTTTTTTTTCCCCCTCGTGCTGAAAGACCCTGGCACGCCTTGTTATGCTCTTGAACAGATATCTGCTATCCTGCAGATATCAAATTTTGCAGAGGCAAAGTAGGCCCCACCCACGTTCTCCAGAAAAACACCAGTGGGATCGTGTTGGATGTTACTTTTGGAACTGTGTAATTCAGTGAAGCTCTGCTGCTCGAGGACCTGGCTGTTATACCGAATAACAGAACAACAACCACCGTAACTAATAACTGTTTTCCCTGTCCTGCCTCTTTGCTGAATCATGAATAATGCTGTAAGATAAGGCATTTCATACAATCAGATAATTTTTTTTTTTCTTTCCCCTCCCTGTGTCATGAATGCCAATAGCTGTTTTGGAAGCAGAGCCCTTGCTCCTGCTCCTACTGCTGCATAAATCAAGCTAATGCTGCGATGCCACTGGCTTATTTGTTCTCCTGCATTTCAGGTTTTAGTGTTATTTCTAACTTCACCCCACTGTGTGGGTTCAAGTGTAGCTTGTTAGCTTACCCTCCCGGCTCCTGGCAGAAGGTCCCTCTGTTGGAGAGGTGGCACGGACACCCGCACGGGGCTCAGGCTCCTTGTCACCCGGCTGCCTGCGCCTGGCGGATCTTTAAAAACCAAACAGAAATGAGGGGAGTGAGGGAGGAAGAGCTGAGGCGATGCTGCAGCATAGAGCAAAGCTGCTTTGCTTGTTTTATGTGTGTTTTTTGTTTGTTTGTTTTAAAGTATGTAGCAGTCTGCAATTCATGGATTTGGGGCTGTAGCTTTTGTTCTGTTTCCATAGCCTCATTTTTCTTCACTTGCCACTAATCTTTGGTTAAGTAACGATGGGGAAAGGCAATCTGTCCCCAAGGGAGCAGAGCTGGCATTTTGGCTTATCTCTGGCACTATCTTGACTTGCTGCTCATCCTGCCACCCTCAAACCACCTTTGGTAAGACCAAGTGGAGCAGGGAAAACAAACAAATGTTGTCAGTTGAGGTCAACTGCACTTGCCTGGGTCTCGCCTTTGGGTTGAGGTTCCCTCTTTCCGTGTTTACTCTATTACACGACTGTGTGTAGGAGAGCAACTGTACCACAAGTGGACTCTGCTCCTCCTTGAAGCCTGTCAGTAGATCCTCAAGGGTTGCTTAGAGTTAGGACAGCAAAGAAGTTGTGAGGACGGAAATGCGGATGCTCTTGTGTGGCGCCCTACTTGTTAATGACCACAGCACGAAATCTCATTTGGCTTTGATAACATGAATAAATGCATTCCAGCCAAAAAACACTTTTATTATTTACATTCTTGTCCATAATAAAGCTCAGACTTTCTCTGTGTCTCTGCCTTCGTACAGCCCATACAGTGATCGCTTTGCAAGCAGTTGGGAATCTGTAAAGCACCTAAAAGCAACTCTCCTCATCAGCTTTGCTGAGCTATGTTTAAGCTGCGGTAATGCAACTGTTTCGTCACGCTAAGCTTTATTGCTTCGGCAGAAGAAACTAGGAAACTTCATTGAAGACCAGATTACGCCAGTAGCAAAACTGGAGAGATTTTTTTTTTTTCTCTCCGACCCCATTATCTCCCCTGCAGTATCTTGATCAGCTTTCTTGCATGTAGCCCCGGCTTCTGCAGAGACCTGTAAATTGCTGTTTGGGCTGCCAAATTGCCATAACCCTTCTATTTTTATGTTTTAAAAGGGCTTAAAACCGTCCATCCTCTTTGGATACATCTTTAAAACTGGCCGGTGCTGGGAGGATTTGGTGTATATCCGACGGCTTAGAAGAAGATGTTACTTCTGCGGAGCTTCTAGTTTTATAGTCAACAGACATGAAAAGCCCAGCGGGGATAAAAGGAACTTAACCAGTTCTGTCTAATGCATATAAATCTACCTAAGAGCTCAAGGCACTGGAAGTACTCAATGCACTGCATTTATCTAGATGCAGAAATGGGTCTTCAGGACGCATGCCACATGTCCCATTTTGATGCCAAGTTAATATGAATTAGAAGACTGAGATGGATAAACAAGGTCAGTCTGGGCTGGGCCAAGTTGAATCAACGCAAAATAATTGTCAGTATTTTCTGTCAGCAACAACGGTTTATCTTGGCTCGGGATTCGCAGGGCTAGAGATTATAAAACGTTTTCAGTGGAACAGTTGGCAGGCATTTTATTGGTTTTTTTTTTTTGTTTTGTGCATGCTGAAAAAAAATTCCATTAAGTATACACACTGCTCATGTGACAAAGCCGCGTTACTTTTTCAGACTTTCCTTTCTTCAGGTAAGCTAAGGTGGTAAATACCTTGGCAGTCTAATTTAATCGAGAGGACCTTTGAGAATGAAGAGGGCATACAGCGCGCCTCGATGCACCCGGAATACTTGCTGAATGATAACAGTTAATTTTGTTTGTGTATTTTTTTCTAAAGTGCCGTATGCATGTTAACTAATTAATTTGCCCAACATCTCTTTGAAGTTGGTAACTGTTATTATCTCAGTTTCTCAGATGTAGAAATGGAGAATGCAGCTTTGACCAGAGCCATGTACATTGGTCTGCTGCAGTGGTCTGGATGCGAGGGAAGCTCCCGTTGCCTTAGCTGGAGTTCAGCAAAGGCCAAGGATGGGAACCGAGGCCACGGTAAGCGGGCAGGATTCGCACTGCAGTGTTCCTGGGTCCCAGGTCAGGGATGCGTTTCCTACGCGGCATTGCCCCTTCTCTGCGGTGCGCCTCGGATAGCTCTGCTTTGGGACTGAAAATGGCCAGAGCAGGTAGAGCACCGGGTAGGACTGCGAGCGGACCCGTGCAGGATGTGCTTCTCGGGGTAGGTCCCTGCTATTTGAAGACTAGCTGTACTTCCTGGTTAATGAGGACTTTTTCAAAAGATAATTGTCAGTGGAAGAATAAACAGCAGTGATGTAATGGTGATGAATGCTTATTTTGTTCAATTACGTGAGACCATGGAGCAAGAAATGTTTCATGTTTCTGGTGTGTGTTTTTTTTTTTTTTACATGACACATGAAAGGTGTTGCGGTAGGATAACTCTTATTCTCTCTATGCTGATTTAATAACCAGCATACACAGATACGAAGGACTGTCATGCACTCGTCTTATTGCTTCCTGAGGTTTGACTGGTGATGCTACAGACTCAAATTATGTAAATGTGCTTCTGAGCTTAGCATGAAAATCTTGTAGAGGATTTGAAGTATGTATATTTGAAAGGACATGAAAAGCAACAGGAAAGTTTTATGAGAAAAATCACTGCAGCAATATAGATTTTTGGCCTTCTATTATAAACACAATTAGACTATCCCTTATCTTAATACTAAATAGGAGTAGTTTTGGTTTGGTGTGGGTGGGCTGGTGGATAAGGTGTGAGTATTGTGTTTGTTGTGTTTTCTCTAATCCAGTTTCAACTGGACTCATATAGGTAGGGCCCTGGTATTGTCTCAGGTGATCACTTGTTGATTTGTACAAAAATAAACTGTCCTGTGAGAAGTCTTTCTTAAACAATAGGTTTCTTAAACATATTGCAGAGAGCTATCTTGCTCCCTTGAACAACAGCGTTAACATCTTCTGAAAAGGCTGGCATTATTTACATGTAAAAGAGCTATTCTGAACAAAACATGTCCACGTAGAGAAGAAAGAATAACAAGAGAGAAAAAATATTCCTAGGTATAAAATACGGGAGGCTTGGAAGGACAGAATGGTAATGGTCCATAGCCAACACGCAAGCTGGAGATAGCTTTGACTTGTAAAATTATTCACTGGGCTCTGCACTGATGGCTGGTATTTAACTGTCCTATTCGTGGCAGAGTGAAAGAAACCACATGCTGATAAAGTTCCTATACCTGGAGCGTTGTCCTGCAGTTTTTAGTGCCCACACATGGTAAGTTATGGGCAATGTCTGGAAAACTCCTTATAGTTCGGCACTAATAGCAACGCCATTGCCACTTTCACAAAATGTCATGGAGTTGCTCTGATTTTCTCTAACTGTAAAACTTATTTTAGTCTCAAACAGCGTTCTCTGCTCTCTACCTATCAAGAAGAGAAGCTAGACTTTGTCTAGAATGAGTTCTCAGCTAAATAAAGCCCTGAGACTGCTTTATGAATGATCTTTTTTTCTCCAATCTCCTCTTGACTCTCTCTATTCCAGGTGTGGCTTTCCTTGTTAGGTATTAGGCAGATCCTGAAAGGAGATGATGATACTAAGAAAAGATAATTGAAGTGATCTGTTAAACATGCTGCCTGAAAACAGGGCTTCTGTCATGCCTATTAATATTTGTGAGGCTCTGCAGGGCAAGAGTAACAGGGTTTATTAAGAAGTTAAACAGAAAGATCTTCTGCTAGCCTTCACATGTTGCCCAGGGTTTTTGCCTTGGGTTGTAAGTCATGAGGTACATCGCAGCTGCCCCAGAACAAAGGTGCTCTCAAAGCTTAAATACAGGACAATAAAGTCTAGGAATGTGCTGGAGTCTTAATGAAATGAGCTGCCAGAAACTCGGGTGAGATACAAATTTGGGATGGTATCTGGATCAGAAAGTATCTAGATGTTGGTGTTAGAAATGCAGGAATATAGGTCAATTGATGCTATGTTTTTCGACACAACTAGCTGGTACAAAAGCATAAACCCAAGGCAGATGAACAAAAGACTCCAGGAAAGAAGAAATAAAGCAACTTTCACCTACTGGTCTTGTCAAACATCTGCAAGTCCCACTGTTGGGTCTTGCAGAGATTAGAGCCGGCAGATATCCAAAAGATGGAGCCTAGTAGTTCTGTCGCTTGCAGTTTAATTCACGCGTGTCAAATGCATGTGAGCAGTGCTATGGACTTTGTGTGACTTATCATTTACTTCTACAGAAAGGTGGTGCGGTGTTTATTGTAAGATTAATGCCACTGAACACTGACGCTCGACATGGAAAGAACAGATTAGTTTAGGTTGGAAGGAACCTCTGGAGCTCATCCAGTCCAATCCTCTGCTCCGAGTAGATTCAGCTGTTAAGTTAGGTCCAGCTTCAAGGAGAGATCAGATTGCTGCAGGTCAGGCCTGTGATCCAGTGAGGACTTGTAAAGGATACTAACAGAAGTGAAGCAATTGCACTGGTGAGCATTAGGGATCCCAGAAGGACAGCAGCAATCCTTTCCCTTGTGCTAGACTGCAAACAATGCTCAAGTACAGACCTGAGCCAAGTGCTGTCACATCAATAGGGAGGACACGTGCTTTAGCAAGTTATGGTGCGTCAGCACAGAGGAGGATGCAGCAAACTGGAGCTGTGCACTAACCCTGCTTCATAAAAGACAAATCAAGCCCCTAGAGGGGAAAGTCTCATGGATTTCAGTAATGCTGTGGAGATAAATCAACAGGTGCCTACAGTAATAGGTATGAAGTGTGGCTGAAGTGACTTGGTGAAGATGGGAAGTTATATTGTGCATGAGACTAGGGAACATAGAATAGTACATTACAAAATGAAAATTTTATTTCCCTGTTTTTCTTGAGGGGAGAGACTTCAGAAATAAATAGGAAATGATTCAGGATCCACAATGTTTATGTATTCTGCTCACCAGCAAGATAAATGAAGACTAGCGTTAAACAGCATGAGAAACGGAGAAAGTCAATAACTAAACAGAAATGACCAAGCTAACAAACAGTGAAGGGCCTTTAGAGGAGGGAGACTGTGTCCTGGTTATTGATTTTTGAAACTGCAGGTAGTGGTAGGAGGCTGAGAAGAAGTGGACGGTGGAAATGTCAGATATGAATTTGTGATGTGGGAAATGGTTTAGAATAATAATGTTGCTGTGGGCTTACTAAGATGCTCAGGTGCCAGGCACTACACAGCTGTGATTCAATAAATGTCACTATTTCAGTAAGGCCTTACTATTCTGTTTTTTCAAGCAAATTAACTGAGGCAACAGAATGTAAATAAGACTTAATTTGGGGTTTCCATGCTGAAACAACTTAAATGTCATGAAGTGCAGAGGAACCATCTACCCATCATTAAGTTCTCTCCCAATGTCTCGGACCAGGTAGCCAAATAGCTAGCAATGCTTGGATATCTTGACCAGAAAGATGAAACATCGCAATAACTATGGAGCTGAGAGCAGCACTCGTGTCTCGAGGCAGGCTTGTAACACTCCAGCCCTTTCTTTGATATACAAGTTTCTTTGCGTAAGAAGTCTGATGCAGATTTGGCAGCAGGCGTGTTGTAGAAAATAAACTCTTGACCATGTGGAACTGGAGGCGAACTGAACACGAGTCATGGTTAGGCTCTTGTAGCCTTTCTTAAACATGGAGAAGTCGTTCTTGGAGTCACTTGCGCCCTCGCAGGTGGCCTCCTGAGCTAGTGGGCATTGTAACAGGGAGTGCCTTTAAAACCCAAATCAGCATTGGCAGGCTTCACGCAGCTGCAGCCACCCTGGGGAGCCGCTGGAAGTTTTCTTTAGAAGCTCAGCAGGAGACAAAAACTCCAGGGTCTTCTTGAGGAGGGTCAGCTGTCTACACTGGATTTTAGCCAGCTGAGGGACCTGGTAGTGTGGGCGGGAAGCTTCCTCCAGACTCGCTAACTTGGCAAGCACAAGCCTCAGAAAATCATGCAGCTTTGGTGCCTGCAGAGAGCCCCTGGTGAGGATCAGCAACTGTTGGTGGGCCCACCTGGGCTGGCTGGGGCCAAAGTGGTCAAGATGGCAAGGCAGGGAGTGGGAGAGAAGCTGAACACTGAAACCTCTCCCCGAAGACACCTAACAGAGCTAGCTGTGGGACTGCCAGGTAAGTGTGAGTCATAGCAAATGCCAAAAAGGAGAAGGTGAGCTGAAGGGAGGATAGAGTGTTTATACCTCTGGAGCAGAGGCATGTTGGGATTAGTCTCTCTTCTAATGTGCTGTTAAAGGAGCTGCTCTGATTGGAGCACTTGTGAAGAGAAGTTCTCTGTAATCAGTAGTCTTTGGCATGATCTCTTGCTGCCTATGTTATTCCCTTGTATCAATACAGTGCTATCTCCATCCTGAAAGTTAAAAGAAAATAATTGCATGCTGTACTCAAAAAAAAAACAAAAAAAAAAAACAAAAAAACCCCATCTCCAAGTCCTTAAGATACCTATGAAAACCTTAGATGGTGTTCTGTATCCTAAGGAATTGTAGGTTCTGTGTAAAATAAGTATTTCATGTGGTGGGGTGTAGCTGGTACAAAGGCTATTATGTCTAATACTGCAAAAGCTCAACCTGTTCATGTGAAGAAAAAAAGAGAATTAAGTAAAGATCTTTGGAAGGGGAGAGAAATGCAATCCTTGCCCACACATGGAGCGGTCAGCACAATTAAACACAGATGATTAGGTTGACTTGCTGAAAATGGAAACTCAGTGTTGTACTTGCAATAAACTTACTAAAAACGTTCTCGAGTGTGGTAGGAGCAGAAAGCAAAAATAAATGCACCTGTTTACTCATTTGGGAACAAAGAATTGTTCCTTTCCTATTAGAGTGCATTAGGAAAAAAAATGTTTTTAAAGTCTTTACAGACGAGCTGAATACTCTGTGCTTCACTGTAATTTCCCACCTGTTGCAAGATGTCCTGCCCTTCGCTAGCAACAAAAGTGTAGACGCACTTCTTAAAAACACCGCTGCTGGACCTGCTGCTTCTCTCGCAGTAGGTAGGTTCCAGGTTTTCATCTCTCTGGGAACCCGTCCACTCTCGAGAGCTCATCCTGGTGGCTTCAGTTCCAGGCTAGTGATAGGCTTAAAGCCGTCTGTGAAGATCGCGTTGGATTTTTATAAGTTCTGTTTATTGCCTGTAGCTGTTAATCTCAGCGTTTCTGTTCCATTGCTCTCTCTTCTGCATGTTCATCAAAGTAGGCTGCGTTTGCTCAAACCTTTTAATTGTTACATTAAGGAATGTTAAATACTTTCAAATTATACATGGGTTCTGGAAATTGGTTTGCGTCCATCCTGCGGCCTTCCGGCTTCCAAATATTCCTTAGTACCTGCTAGCATCTTAATATTTTTATTACGTTTCCAGTCGGATACAGATTCAAGTGAAGTTGTCAGGACTGTTCACAATATCAAACGTGTTGAAATATATTTCAGTTAATTGTTTTCTCCCTGTTCCCCCCCCCCCC